GACATACAGCTTTAAGTGATTATATTTTAATTTTCAGTTCTTTTTTAATTTCATATACTCTGTTAGTCCCACAGTGGAGATTCAAGACATTTGTTTTTATTTTACTGTTGATTTTCTAAAGAATTATTTTAAGCTATTTTTTCTTTAAGAAACTTTTTTTTGGCTTTTTTTTTTTTATTATTTTTGGTTTTTCCTCAAAGAAGTCAGGCCATTTTTAAAGAAAAGAGTTTGGCAGTTTTTTCTCTTACCTTAAATATTTTGGGCGATTTGTTTTTTCTGAACACATCACCAAAGTGACAGAGCTATCAGAGCCAGAAGAAGATTTTCTTTAAGAAACATTTTGTTGGTGATTTTGTAAAAGAAATGTTTGATGATTTTTTTCTTTCATTTAACTGTCAAACATCAAAGGGTAAGAAATCAACAACTCATTTATGGTGGAGGGAGGGTCAGCAGAAACGGTCAGTGTGTTTGGATGGAAGCTTTAACAAGAGGAGAATCAGCATGTTAAATAATCCTGTGTGTTTGGTGGACTGACCGAGCTCTGGAGCTTTGCTCAGGACGAAGGCGTAGGCCCAGAACTTGCTGACGGGTCCGTTATAGAAGCTCTGGTCACAGATGGACTGTCTGAAGCCGCTGCTGCTCAGGATGTGGAACATGTAGGAGCTGGTCCGGATCGCACCGATGATGCTGAGAGAAGAAGAAGAAGATCTGTCAGACTACAGACACACAACAGAGAGACCTCCATAAACATCACCTGTCCCCTCTCAGTGGTACAAAGGTACAGCTCTAACTTGTTTAAAGTTCAAACAATTATAAAACAATTTATTTTTTCTTTAAAAATAATAATAACTAAATCACTACAATGACATTATCATAACCAGAAATGTGTCGTTTTTTGTTGGTTTGTTTGAATACAAGAAGATCTGTTTAATTTTGCAAAATACTTTTGACTTTAAAAATCTTTCTTGTATGTGTGGTAAGTGTTTTATATTTAAAGTTTATCAACCCAGTCTCACTCTGAAGTCGTCAAACACCGGCGCTCGCTCAGTGATTTCTGGGGTCAGACACCAACGAAAAAGCCGACCTTTCACGTCGGCATGATACGCAGCCTGGCGACTGGCGCCATCAGGGGAAACGCAGCGTAAATTAAGGCAGAGGAAGTCCAAGTAGCACAGGTGGGACCGCCCCTGACCTTCACCCAGGAGGCCGGTGTTCACTTCCTGTAAGATTGTAAAGCCAAACCCTGTTCTTTGTTCCTAAACCCAACCATGTGTGTGTGTGTTGCCGTGTTGTACCGACGTAGTGCTTTTATTTTGAAAAAGACTATCAAACTGTACATTTCCTGTGAAAACAGAAGTGCATTTTGAAAACAGACAATGCATGTAACAGGCTGAAGTTGACACGGCGTCCCAGAACGTCAACAACCAACACACCCAGGGTACCTTGGACGTCATATGTGGACGTGGAAAGTCCATGACCAAACGTGGACATGTGACGAGGTCACAGTGAGGATGATGTTGATGCGTTTACAAACTAACACACATAAATAATTTTGACACAAATGTGTCTCCGTACGTCAACACTCCTCGTCGTCTTCACTGAAGTAACGCTGCTGTTCTTCACTGATCATTTAAAGTGGGCGGGGCAGATCGATCATGTTTCAGCGCCGCGGCGTCATCTGACTTTAGCGTTCAGAGCCTGAAGCCTGTGTTCACAGCTGATCACCACCTGCGTGTCACATGTTCTTTCTGACAGAGACCTCAGCTCAGACAGAGAGCGTGACTCTGTGGCTCGACCCTCTGGAGACACAGCGAGGTGTGAGCGGCGTTTAACATCAGCTGACAGCTCTGTGTGGTAGTCCTCATGGCGACAGACGAACAAACACACCTGAGCTGTAATCATCTTCAGGCACAATGACCGACAGTTCGTTACCATGGAGACAGAGCCTCCGTCCTCAGCAGCTCTTATTGTTGTTCACAGAAATCACTAACAGCACGCTGCTGGTTACCATGGAGACAGGAGGTTAAAGGTCGTGTTTTCAGGACGTCTCTGAGGAAACGACTTTTACTTTTGTTGGTTTTTAATTTGTTGGCAGAGTGTTACCTCAGCCCGCACAGGGTGGACAGAATAACAGAAACACCTCACCTGATATTACAGGTGCTTATAAACAGGCCACGCCCCCTCAGACACCTGTTAATCGCTCTAAATGTATCTGGAAACTCGTTTAAAATTGTTTAAATAGATTTTGTTCTTAATTTTAGTTATAATCGAGAACTGAAGTTAAAACAAACAAACCTGTTTACACACATAAACAATATTTGTTTGGTAGGAGCAGAAGTCTGATCACGTTTGTTTGGTCCTGATACCAAATCCACTCTTTTAATATCGATCTGATGTTTATACTCACTTAAATGTTGATTTAATATGTAACTGATTAATAACAACTCTCAATTCACTTATTTTAAGTTTATACGTAAAATTTATTGATCCGACATGAATGATTATGATGAAAGATCCTCTACAGAAAAGGAGGTCTCACTCCGACGGTGTTACAGAGCGTCTTCCCTCTCAGAGATACGTTTTATTTTCTTCTGTCATAAAGTCAGCGACTAATTTAAAACCCTTTCAAAGAGTTTAAATAAAACCAACGTGCTGAACGTCACCACGAACAGAGTTTTAAATGTTAAAATTGTGTTGTTACCTGAAGAGGGCGAGGCTGAGCGACCAGAGGATGAGCGGCCGCCGCAGGTTCATTTTGGGTCGAGGCTTCATGTAGTGCTGACCTCCGAACACCAGGGCGGCGTACAGAGCGCTGAACACGAAAGACTTGCTCCTGCAGGAGGAAACACACATTCAGACGTTAATGTTGAATAAAAACATGTGAAGGACACACTCGGGTCAGGTGATCAAGATTTGAATAAACATTAACGTAACTTTCTTTGACAGGTTAAAAAAAAAAGATAATTTATTTATACAACAAGCTAACAGCACTTTAGCTAACATTTAATATTAACATTGAGTTGGATGCTACTCTTTTTTTCACACCTTGCTAATGTTATGATGCTAATGCTGAAAAGCTAATGTTACGATGCTAATGTTAAAGTACGTTAAATGTTATTAAAATGCTAATGTTGAAAAGTTGTTGAAATATTTATGTTAAAATGCTGATACACACAAGTTTGTTGAAATGCTGACATTAAAATGCTAATGTTAAAAAGCTGATATTAAAATAGTGACATTAAAATGCTGATGCAAAAAAGCTCATATTAAAATGCTAACTCTAAAAAGTTGTGAAAATATTGATGTTAAAAAGTTGATGTTGAAATGTTGACATAAAAATATTTCTTTAAAGAAAACAACAACAACAACAACAACAATAAATCTGATTGCTCTCTCGCCTAATAAATTTTAAATTGTATTAATTTGTGTGAAGAACTGATCCAGTCTGACGTCTCTCTTCATGCTGTCACAGTCATGTTTTCATAGACAGGTGCAGACCTGTCACACCTGAGGTACACCTGTGTTTTACTGACAGAGTCACGTCAGCTGTTTCATCACAGCTTCACTCTGATCTCTTTTCTTTAGTTTCCTTAAATATATATTTTAATCATAATTAATCATGACTGAATGTTAAACACTGTCAGCTGCTTTATTAACGTGACACAGGCATTAAAATATTATAATTATATTAAATACAAGATAAATGTCTGTATTTAACCCATGAAGGAGGATTTGTAGTTCTTCCATCACCTGACCTCTGACCCTGACCCTGACCCTGAGCCTGACCCTGGGAGGCTTTCAACCGGAACAACCGGATCCACCTTAAACACTCCAACATACTTCAAATGCTTCAGTGTGACATCACTGTGACTCACCTGTAGTGCACGTGCAGCATCCACTGAGCGCACTGATTCCTTTGAGCTCTGTGTAATCCCGAGTACACTTGCTGCAGCACCAAATCCCCTTCACATATTACGTAATTTAAAGTTCTCTACCTTACCTGTAAATGAGGCATACTTTGGACACAAACAGTAATCTTCCTCTTGAATGAGTGATCCCAGCTCTCCCGTTCGGCATTCACAAAATAAAAAAAGGACATTTTAATCCTACAAACCCAGATGATATTTAAATCGATCACCGCTGTGTCCGCCGCCTCCCCTCACTCCCCTGATCGCTCGCAGTGTGACACTTTCAGTATCGAGCAAACCGGTTGAGGTGAGTGTGTGTCGCAACAGGTGCCGTTTGGAGTACTGGGAGTATGCCGAAACAAACACTGGACCCTCTCAATCCCGAAACCGCCTTCATAAATATTTTAAACAGTGTGTACTTTAGGATGGAGAGGCCATTTTTAAAAGTGTTGATTACTGTAATGGAATTCGGAGCGTAGCTTCTCCTCTGAGGAGAGTGAAGAGTTTATCGGGATGTTCCTGCTCTTCCTGACAGTTTGTGGGGTCTAAACTTTCCGCAGAAACGTTTCAGTCAAATCAAAGAGTTATTACAGTTTGAATGAAACTTGAGACAGAATATAAACAGTTATTGTTGTTAGCTCACCAGTTAGCCTGCATCCACTGAATCGCTCCTCTCTCGTCAAAGCGCCGCTCGAAGCTGTACTCCGACAGGACCGGAAGCTGCGTCTCATTCACCTGCAGCATCTTTATTTATATTAATAATATTATCAGGAGTTTATATTTAATAAAATCTGTAAACTGTGAGTCCCGTCAGTGTCTCCTCTGTCTCTGCTGCTGCGGTCTGTCCTCTCACCTGTCTCACCTGTCTCACCGTCCTAGTTAAAGCCTGTTCACAGGGGGCGGGGCTTCAGTGAGACACGCCCCCTTTCTTTTTTTCATTTAGCCTACTGATTTTCTCTTATTTTACGGTACGGAAGCTGCAAAAACAACAACAACAACAACAACAACAACAACAATAATAATAATAAATGAAATAAAAAGTTATTATTTTTTATTCCTTCTCTGTTCTGCTCATCAAGAACTTTGATTTATTTTTGTTTATTTTATAAATGTACTGATTTTCTCCACGTTAAATTGTAAGGAAGCCCATTTCTGCAAAAAAAAAAAAGTATAGTTTAGTATTTAGTGTTTATATTCTAGTACATTTATAGTGTGTGTGTATATATATATGTATATAATCATCAGAAACATTGTTGAAATAATGACAAACTTATCAAACTTTATCAAAATATTAAGTTAAAAACTCCACCCAAAAAAACAAAACCCTGAGAAACAACAGAGTCATTAAGACAAAGTTTCTCATTGTATTGACTCACAGGATTTTTATTTTTATTTTTATCACACTGGCAAAAACTGGCTTTCACATTAATACTGTTTTTATTTGTTAGTGTCCTAAAATAATGAGAAACTTTCACAAAATATTTCCTTGAAACAACACTGAGTCATTAATTTGAGAAAGTTTCTGATCATAATAACGTACAGGATGGTTTTTATCACACTGTGCTGTTCTGTCTTATTTCAGCGTGTTCATATGGAGGTAGATCTGTCTCAATATTAACTTTATGAATAAACATAAAAAGAATCTGTGAGCACATTTAATTAGTTAACAACTAAATGAAAAAGTTGTGTGAATATGTTTCTCAAACATGTTTGTGATTCTAGTTTTCATTTGTGAATCTCAGTTCTGCACTCGTGGATTTGTGTTTTATGCACAACAGACAGCGTCTTTTCCTAAATATATCATGATGAAAATAATGTGGGTTGCACAGGGTAGTGTCCACAGTAAAATCACACTATCAGTCTATCAGACTATACTGGTGGCTTTACAGCCTACATTTTATTGATTATCTCTGATCCCCACGCTCAGTTTGGTCGTTGCCACAGTGCGACACAACACCACTGACACTTGCCTCTTTACATTGATTTAGAATTTGTGTGTCTGCAGATCTGATTTATTATTTGTTTGTGTTTTCTTTAATTATTTTTACTCCTCTAGACTGAATAACATCAGAATGTCATTCGGTCTAGAGGAGCACTGGGACTGAGTTGGGTTCATTTCATATTTGAAACACCTTTAAATAAGCTCAGTAAAAACCCTCTTGGGTCAGCAGGAGGATTCGTCGTCACAAAGCTGAACACAGGCTGATTATTATGAATCAGTGTTTTCAGTCGTCACAGAACAGAAGCAGCTGATTACAGTTTCTAACAGTCTGATTAGAGGAGCAGTTTGTTCCAGATCTGAGAACAGAGTCACACTTTGTTTAAAACACTTTGTACAGAGTTAATCTGACAGATAAATGATTCACTGGACAGAGAGAGAGGAAGATAACCAGAGGAAGGTTTCACATCCTGTACTGCAGGGAAGGAACCAAGACCTCACTGTGGAAATACTCAGACAGTAAAATGATGTATGAAATATAAAGTATTTAAAGTGATAGTTATTATATCTGATCTCAGTAGAATATTCTGGCTCATGTATTAATGTAAATCATTATGAAACCTCCTTTCACATGTTTGTAATGATTATATTTATTGTGGATTAATCTGCTGATTGTTTTCTCCATAAATCAATTGATTGATTGGTTTGTAAGAAATGTTCATATGTCCTGTCCAACCTTCAGGACTAATTTGGACTCCGTCCTCCTCCCCACCTGGTCCACTGTCCCCTCCACTGTCTGAACACATCTAACAGGAGGCGTCCAGGAGGATCCTGATCAGATGCCCGAAACCCCTTTCGACGCGGAGGAGCAGCGGCTCTACTCCGAGCTCCCTCCGGATGTCTCTCGGGATGGAGATGGACCAGGAAATGGAAAGCTTGACCCCCACAGAGGCAGCTCTTTTATGATACGACTCAGTCGGCCACAGACTGATGATTTGTACAAACTGATGATTTGTACAAATTGATGATTTGTACAAACTGATGATTTGTACAAATTGATGATTTGTATAAATTGATGATTTGTACAAACTGATGATTTGTACAAACTGATGATTTGTACAAATTGATGATTTGTACAGACTGATGATTTGTACAAATTGATGATTTGTACGGACTGATGATTTGTACAAACTGATGATTTGTACGGACTGATGATTTGTACAAACTGATGATTTGTACGGACTGATGATTTGTACAAATTGATGATTTGTACGGACTGATGATTTGTACAAACTGATGATTTGTACGGACTGATGATTTGTACAAACTGATGATTTGTACGGACTGATGATTTGTACAAACTGATGATTTGTACGGACTGATGATTTGTACAAACTGATGATTTGTACGGACTGATGATTTGTACAAACTGATGATTTGTACGGACTGATGATTTGTACAAACTGATGATTTGTACGGACTGATGATTTGTACAAACTGATGATTTGTACGGACTGATGATTTGTACAAACTGATGATTTGTACGGACTGATGATTTGTACAAACTGATGATTTGTACGGACTGATGATTTGTACAAACTGATGATTTGTACGGACTGATGATTTGTACAAACTGATGATTTGTACGGACTGATGATTTGTACAAACTGATGATTTGTACGGACTGATGATTTGTACAAACTGATGATTTGTACGGACTGATGATTTGTACAAACTGATGATTTGTACGGACTGATGATTTGTACAAACTGATGATTTGTACGGACTGATGATTTGTACAAACTGATGATTTGTACGGACTGATGATTTGTACAAACTGATGATTTGTACGGACTGATGATTTGTACAAACTGATGATTTGTACGGACTGATGATTTGTACAAACTGATGATTTGTACGGACTGATGATTTGTACAAACTGATGATTTGTACGGACTGATGATTTGTACAAACTGATGATTTGTACGGACTGATGATTTGTACAAACTGATGATTTGTACGGACTGATGATTTGTACAAACTGATGATTTGTACGGACTGATGATTTGTACAAACTGATGATTTGTACGGACTGATGATTTGTACAAACTGATGATTTGTACGGACTGATGATTTGTACAAACTGATGATTTGTACGGACTGATGATTTGTACAAACTGATGATTTGTACGAACTGATGATTTGTACAAACTGATGATTTGTACGGACTGATGATTTGTACAAACTGATGATTTGTACGGACTGATGATTTGTACAAACTGATGATTTGTACGGACTGATGATTTGTACAAACTGATGATTTGTACGGACTGATGATTTGTACAAACTGATGATTTGTACGGACTGATGATTTGTACGAACTGATGATTTGTACGGACTGATGATTTGTACGAACTGATGATTTGTACGGACTGATGATTTGTACGAACTGATGATTTGTACGGACTGATGATTTGTACGAACTGATGATTTGTACGGACTGATGATTTGTACGAACTGATGATTTGTACGGACTGATGATTTGTACGAACTGATGATTTGTACGGACTGATGATTTGTACGAACTGATGATTTGTACGGACTGATGATTTGTACGAACTGATGATTTGTACGGACTGATGATTTGTACGAACTGATGATTTGTACGGACTGATGATTTGTACGAACTGATGATTTGTACGAACTGATGATTTGTACGGACTGATGATTTGTACGAACTGATGATTTGTACGGACTGATGATTTGTACGAACTGATGATTTGTACGGACTGATGATTTGTACGAACTGATGATTTGTACGGACTGATGATTTGTACGAACTGATGATTTGTACGGACTGATGATTTGTACGAACTGATGATTTGTACGGACTGATGATTTGTACGAACTGATGATTTGTACGGACTGATGATTTGTACGAACTGATGATTTGTACGGACTGATGATTTGTACGAACTGATGATTTGTACGGACTGATGATTTGTACGAACTGATGATTTGTACGAACTGATGATTTGTACGGACTGATGATTTGTACGAACTGATGATTTGTACGGACTGATGATTTGTACGAACTGATGATTTGTACGAACTGATGATTTGTACGGACTGATGATTTGTACGAACTGATGATTTGTACGGACTGATGATTTGTACGAACTGATGATTTGTACGAACTGATGATTTGTACGGACTGATGATTTGTACGAACTGATGATTTGTACGGACTGATGATTTGTACGAACTGATGATTTGTACGAACTGATGATTTGTACGGACTGATGATTTGTACGAACTGATGATTTGTACGAACTGATGATTTGTACGGACTGATGATTTGTACGAACTGATGATTTGTACGGACTGATGATTTGTACGAACTGATGATTTGTACGGACTGATGATTTGTACGAACTGATGATTTGTACGGACTGATGATTTGTACGAACTGATGATTTGTACGGACTGATGATTTGTACGAACTGATGATTTGTACGGACTGATGATTTGTACGAACTGATGATTTGTACGGACTGATGATTTGTACGAACTGATGATTTGTACGGACTGATGATTTGTACGAACTGATGATTTGTACGAACTGATGATTTGTACGGACTGATGATTTGTACGAACTGATGATTTGTACGGACTGATGATTTGTACGAACTGATGATTTGTACGGACTGATGATTTGTACGAACTGATGATTTGTACGGACTGATGATTTGTACGAACTGATGATTTGTACGGACTGATGATTTGTACGAACTGATGATTTGTACGGACTGATGATTTGTACGAACTGATGATTTGTACGAACTGATGATTTGTACGGACTGATGATTTGTACGAGCTGATGATTTGTACGGACTGATGATTTGTACGGACT